AGGAGGAGGAGGAGGATGGAAGTGGTGGTTCAGAAGAATTGTCAGAGTTAGTTGGCGGCAGAGAGGACGAGGATGAGGCGGGCGGGGGGATGAAGTTTGGTGCAGTTCGAGAGTTACAGTTGATCCAAAGATGTCCAACAAGGCCGATTCGAGCCCGGAATGTCCGCTGACATCGAGGACACGTTGGAAGCGGTTGTGCGGCAGCGTTGCTGACTGGGCGCAGTTGGGATTTGCGAGCTTTACGTTTCGCTTTGGCGGCGGCGATGCGGTTGGCTTCGTGGATAGCAGCGCCCGTCTTCACTGTTCTCCTCCATGTCGGACGATCGCGGGCGAGCTCTTCCCAGTTGGTCAGGTTGATTTGCAGTAGCTTCAGGGAGGGCTTCAGGGCAGCCTTGTATCGACGAATTGGGCCTCCTTGACGACGAGAACCCGTCGCGACGTCTCTGTAGAAGGGTCGTTTGGGTAGTCGCTCGTCGTCCATGCGCATCAGGTGGCCGCTCCAGCGCAGCTGCATTTGTCTCAACATGGAGTAGATGCTGGGCATTCCCGTTCGTTCCAGCACATCAGTGTCGGGGATGCGATCCTTCCAGTTCAGCCGCAGGATGCGACGAAGACAGCTGAGGTGGAAGTGGTTCAGACGGCGTGCCTGTCTCGTGTACACCGTCCAGGTCTCTGCTCCATACAATAGCGTCGGCAGGATGACGGCCTTGTACATCTTCAGCTTCGTGTTCAGTTGAAGACCGTGACGATTCCAAACTGTGTTTTGGAGACGACCGAAGGCCTGGCTGGCTTTCGAGATCCTGTTGGCGACTTCGTCATTAATCTTGGTGTTGCGGGAGAGAGTACTGCCCAGGTACGGGAAGTTCTTCACCACCTGCAGTTGGGTTCCGTTCACGCTGATTTGCGGCAGCGCGTTGGGGGCTGTGGCCGAGTGAGGTGGCGGTTGGTGCATCACCACCGTCTTCTGCGCGTTGATGATCAGACCGAAGTTCTCGCACGCGCGGAGAACAGGTCCATGCTCCGTTGCATCTCCTCTTCCGAGGTGGTGTTTAGGGCGCAGTCGTCGGCAAAGAGGAGTTCGTGAACGGTTGTTGTGGATACGCGTGATTGAAAGTGCATCCGCCGTTGATTCAGAAGGTGACCGTCCGTCCTGTAGGCGATGCGGATCCCGGGGCGTTCGTCGCGGTAGGCGTCCATCAGCATGGCAGAGAACATAAGACTGAAGAGGGTAGGCGCAAGCACGCATCCCTGCTTCACTCCGTTAGTCACTGCGAATGCCTCTGAGACAGTTCCGTTGTCCGTGACTCGCGCCATCATACCGTCATGCAGCTGACGCACCATCTGAGTGAATCGCTCCGGACAACCGAATTTCTGCATGATCTTCCACAGTCCTTCACGATTCACCGTGTCGAAGGCTTTCGTCAGGTCCACGAAGGTAGAGTACAGGTGGGTCCGCATCTCCTGACATTTCTCCTGAAGTTGACGGGCTGCGAAGATCATATCCGTGGTCCCACGATGACGACGGAAGCCGCATTGGCTTTAAGGCAGTAGACCCTGTTCGAGATGGTTATTGAGGAGGTTGAGAAGGATGCGAGCGAAGATCTTCCCCGCGATGTTCAGCAGGGAGATGCCGCGGTGATTGTCGCATATTTGGCGATTCCCTTTTCGCTTGTATAGGTGTACGATTGTTGCGTCTTTGAAATCTTGGGGGACTTCACCTTGACGCCACATCTCTTGGAAGAGCGCAGTCAGGTGATCCATCAGTTGGGGACCTCCGTGCTTGTAGACCTCAGCAGGGATTGCGTCCGATCCGGGTGCTTTCCCGCTGGAGAGCTGCTGCACGGCCTTGATGGTCTACTGGAGAGATGGCGGGAGGTCGAGGTCCACGTTGGTCTCCACTTGCGGCAGGCGGTTGATGGCGGCGTCGCAGATGGCGGAAGGGCGGTTGAGGACGCCTCGAAAACGCTCGGCCCATCGCTGCAGAATTTGCGTCTTCTCAGTCAGGAGAGTACTGCCGTCGGCGCTGAGGAGAAGAGCAGTGCCCTTCGTCGGCGGACCGTTGACAGCTTTGATCGCAGAGGAGAAGTTCTTCCATTCGTTGTGGTCCGCGTACCCTTGGATCTCCTCAGCTTTGCGAGCAGTCCAGGCGTCCTACATCTCGCGCAGTCGCTGTTGGAGGTGGCGGCGACTGCGGTAGAAAGCAACTTTGTTGTCGTCAGTGGGGTGATCTACGTAGGCTTTGTGTAGGCGGTTCTTCTCAGCAAGCATATTTCTAATGGCGGCGTCGTTGTCGTCAAACCAGTCCTGGTGTTGGCGGGGAGCGCGACCGAGGACGGCGAGCGCCGTCGCCTGGACCGTGTCTCGCAGTTGACACCAGCGGTTCTCCACGGAGGCGTTCTCGGCAGCGGCGGCATCGGCGATGGGAAGGTTGTCTAGTCGTTGAGCTAGCTCATTGCTGAAATGGAGATGGTGGGCTGGCAAAGACAACAAGGCAACATTCAGCTTACCTGGGGGTCGCTTACCTTGAGGTCTCCTGCGAGGCTGTAGGCGAATACGCATCTTCGAGATGACGAGGCGATGGTCGGTCCACCCGTCAGCACCCGCGATCGCCTTCGTCACCAGCACGTCCCGCTGGTCACGCCTTCGGACGAGGACATAGTCCAGCAGGTGCCACTGACGCGACCGAGGATGCCTCCAAGTGGCCTTCTCTCGCTCCGGTAGACAGAAGAACGTGCTCGTCAGGATAAGGCGGTGTTCTGCGCAGGTGCGGAGCAGCAGCGGACCATTGTCGTTTGAGCCGCGGAGACCGTGGGGACCCAGCACTCCTCTCCAGGCAGTACGGTCTGTGCGGACGCGGGCGTTGAAGTCGCCAAGGACAATCAACTTGTCCGCCTTCGACACAGTCGCCAAGAGGGCGTGCAGGTCCTCGTAGAATATGTCTCTGACGGCGTCGGGGTTGGTCATCGTCGGAGCGTAGGCGCTGATGATGGTGGCGAATTTGCCCCCACCCCGGAGAGGCAGACGGAGGCTCATCAGGCGATCGTTGATGCCCTGCGGCATACAGGACAGTCGTCCCACGATGTCATTCCGAATAGCGAAGGCGACACCCGCGTCTCGTCGCTCTGCCCTGGGTCGACCACTCCAGTAGAAGGTGTAACCGGCTCCCACCTCTTCCAGTTGGCCTTGTTCGGAGAAACGGGTCTCGCTGAGTGCGGCGATGTCCACCTTGTAGCGCGCCAGTTCTCGTGCCACTAACGCTGTCCTCCGTTCCGCTCGGTTGCTCCGCGGATTTTCTAAAAGGGAACGAACATTCCAGGCTGCCAGAGTGAGCGGACTCACCCTGCCAGTCTGGTGACAACGAGTGGGGCGACGGGAGGGAGATGGAGAAGAAGGTGACGAAGGAGAAGAATAGGCAGAGGAAGCGGAAGAAGAGGTAGGATGAGGACAATGAGTATGGCTGCTTTTGTTATTGGTATTATTGTTGTTTCGATTTTGATTGTTTCGACCATGTTTAGACGTCTGCGGCCCTGGCTAGCCTGGAGACGGCGTGGAACCCAGCAATGTTTAGGCCACCTTTTCTAGGCCCTTCCCCTCGTGGGGGCTGGCGGTGCCATCCCTGAATAGGGCTGCCATGTGCCGTTGTGGCACGGCCGAACTCCACTATGGGACCACGACTTCGGGTTGTAGTAGAGAGCGACTCGAATTCGCCGTAAGCCGCGGTCTCCGACGGCGTAGGTGGGCGCGTCAAGGCGATGTCGATGTGGAGATCCATCCCGTCACCAGCTGTCCAGCGGCGTGCAGAGACGAACCACGTCACGACAGTGCCGACGCAAGGTACCACCCGACCTTCCATCCAGCGGAATCCGCAAACCATGTGCACACGGCACAGCGTACAGGGCCCCCTCACCTGGTTTAGCCCGCCGGTCGAGACGGTTGCCCGGGGTGTGGCCGCTGAGCAGAGCTCAGCTACGTGGAGCCACAGGTGAGAGTTGGGTTCTAGGAAATGGACGCTAGGCGTAGTTTCACCTGCAAGCAAGTGAGTGACCACTACGACCATCACGTGAACCCACCGCTGACACCCCTAGACCCCTATGGTTTGGGTAACCGCTCGTTGTCCATCCGCACGAGATGGCCTCTCCAACGCAGTTTCAGTTATCTCAGAACAGAGTAGATGCTGAGAATTTCCGTCTGCTCCAGTACGTCAGTGTCTGGGATTTGGTCCTGCCATCTCAGCTTCAGTATGCGGCCAAGATAATTGAGATAGAAGTAGTTGAGCCGGCGTGCCTGCTTCGTGCACACCGTCCAAGTCTCTGCTCCGTACAGCAGCGTCGGGAGGATGACGGTCTTTTACATCTTCATTTTCATTTTGAGATGGAGACCGTGCCAGTTCCAGGCGGTGTTCTGCAGACGGCAGAAGGCTTGGCGGGCTTCGGAAATGCGGCGGGCAACTTTGTCGTTGATTTTAATGCTGCGGGAGAGGGTGCTACCCAGATACGCGAAGTTGTCCAGCACTTGCAGTTGAGCGCCTTTCACGCTGATTTGGAGTGAATTGTGCGCTGTGTTGGTTGACCACCGTCTTCTCCGTGTTGATGATCAGGCCGAAGTTATCGCAGGCGGCGGCGAAGAGGTCCCTGCTTCTTTGTATGTCCTCTTCCGAGGTGGTGTTGAGAGCGCAATCGTAGGCTAATAAAAGTTCGTGGACGGTGGTTGTGGATACACGCAAATGGAAGTGCATCCGCCTTTGATTGAAGAGGTGGCCGTGCACCCTGTGGGCGATGCGGATCCTAGGGCGTTCTTTACGGTAGGCGTCCATCAACATGGCAGCAAACAGGGGATTAAAGAGGGTGGGCGTCAGAACGCAGCCCTGCTTCACTCTGTTGGTCACAGCGAATGCCTCTGAGACACCTCTATTGTCTGTGACGCGCACCATCATGTCATCGTGGAGCTGACACACCATCTGAGTGAATCATTCAGGACAGCCGAATTTCTGCATGATTTTTGACAGTACTTCGCGACTCACCGTATCGAAGGCTTTCGTAAGATCCACGAAGGTAAGGTAGAGGTGGGTCCGCATGTCCTGACACTTTATCCTGAAGTTGGTGGGCGGAGAAGTTAATGTCCGTGGTCCGACGATGACGGCGGAAGTCGCACTGGCTTTCCGGCGTAAGACCTTATTCCAGGTGAATATTCAGGAGGTTGATAAGGATATGGTCGAAAATTTTCCCGGCAATTTTCAGCGAGGATATGCCTCGGTGTTTGTCAAAGAGCTGGCGGTTTCCCTTCCGTTTGTAGAGTCGCATGATTGTAGCGTCCTTGAAATCCTGTGGAACTTCTCCTTGGTGCCACATCACCTGGAAGAGCACCGTCAGATTATCCATGAGTTGGGGCCATCGTGCTTGTTGATCTCAGTAGGGATCGCTTCCGAACCAGGCGCCTTCCCGCTGGAGGGCTACTGCACGGCCTTGCTAGTTTCGTTGAGAGGGGGCGGCAGGTCGAGGTCAGCATTTGTCTCCACTTGAGTCAGATAAGCAGTGGCGGCGTCAGAGATGGTGGAGAGGCGGTTGAGGGTGCCTCTGAAATGCTCATCTTATCGCTGTAGAATTTGTGTCTTCTTAGTAAGTAGGGTGCTGCTGTAGGCGCTGAGAAGAGGTGCGGTACCTTTGGTTGGCGGACCGTAGACAGCTGTGATCGCGGAGGAGATGTTATCCATTCGTTACGGTCCGCGTACCCTCGAATCTCCTCGGCTTCGTGAACCGCCCAGGCCTCCTGCATCTCGCGCAGTCGCTGTTGTACAAGGCGGCGGCTACGGCAGAAGGCTGCTATGTTGTCGTCAGTGGGCGGCCGACGTAGGCTTTGTGCAGGCGGTTCTTCTAGGCGGGCAGTTTGCTGATGGCGGCGTCCTTTTCATCAAACCAGTCTTGGTGTTGACGGCATGCGCGACCGAGGACAGCCAGGGCCGTCGCCTGGACTGTATCCCGCAGTTGACACCATCGGTTAGTTGCGATGATACCAACAGAAACCATCAACTGTAGGTTGGTTTGGAGTGGGAGATCTTGGGAGGCGAGAAATTGCAGGACTACGAGGATTATAGACACGAGTGGCCAGGAGATGGGAAACGTCTGGAGTGGGGGCATCCAGGTGTTTGACGACATCCGCGATTGTAGGGGTAATTATGCTTAGACTAGCGACGTATACCATAACAGGAGGCTGGTTGTACTCGAGTATACGGTTAGCAGTCTCTGTGAGCATCTGAACCGTCGAAGAAGGAATTTAAGGCGTGTAATGAACAGCCATAATGGCTACGTCGCGCATCTCGCTAGCGCCTGCACCTACGTCCTAGCGACAGCCTACTATGGCACGCACTTCTGCCCGGCTTCGATTTGTCTCGTCGCAAAGCTCTGCCTGCACCACGCGAGGCTTGTCACTACATTCGCGTGGGCTCGGAGCCAATCAACGTAACTCCTATCGGTAATTGGTAAGACAGGCGGAAACAGTCCAGAACAATAGAGTAAACAATCTACAGCGACCTTCGGCGACACAGGACTCGCCGCCTCCGCGGCGCCGGACGCATCCTCGCCCAGTTGCCAACTTTCCCTTTAACTATTCTGTACAGAATAAAGTGTCCTAGTCAAATGGCGTCCTGCTTCTAACAACTTGGGATATGGCTTGAAGTTGTGGCGCACTGAGCGTACACCATCACCGCTTAGCCGCTACAGGCGCAAGGATGGCTTGCACAATAGAACGTAACCGTTGAAGAAAAAGTTGCTTGAACATGATGGCATCCAGCTTTTGTCCGTCTTCCAACTGCTCCAAACGTCTAAGAAGCTGAGTAGGCTTCCTGTCACCGAGGTCCTCCTCAGAAATTAAACGTTGCAGAGTTTTTGCATTGGCAGGAAAATGCTGGAAATGAGAGCCTCCTTTAGGGCAGTATAAGGGGCCTATGAGAGCGGGCAATCTATGATGTCGCGGAGGTCGGTGGCGATATCCATTGGGAGTGGTGCCACAACAGTAAAATTTCGTATCCTCTCGTGTTATCTGACGCAGGGCGAAACGGGACCTTACAGTGTGCAGCCACAACGCGATGTCACCAAAGCACACGGCTGGCAGATCAAGGGTGTGAATGCCGGCTATCGGCTGGCTGATGGAATCGTTGGACATAATTAGCCGATGTCGGCCAGAGGTCAGATAATTGGGGTAGATGGCTGGCGCGTTGACAGTGAAATTGAAGGGTAGCGCTCGTATTGGATGAAAAGGTGAGACAGTGTGAATAGCAAATAAGGGCTAGATAAATAGTTTGATCAATAAAAAGTAGAGTGGGAATTAATCAGAATGGAAATAGTTATGCACAGAAATGAAGCAGAAGGAGCTATGAACGAAACAGGGTCACCCATGTAAGTGATAAATCCATTAGTTGGGCACAGTGAGTAGGCTATCCGGGAAACGAAGATAGCAGTATCCCAACCGTTACAAACTAGTAAATAAAAACAACGTCGTCAGCACGTAAAATGTCCGTGGTAGTTCTTTGTCTCATTAAAAGTTGTGCCAAGTTCTTTAAAAAGCGTATTGCAACTGATTAAAACAAAACGAACTTAAATGTCACTACATGTTCTCCACGGAGGCGTCCTCGTCTGTGACGGCGATGGAATCAGCATCAGCTACTGATAGGTTGTCTAACTGTTGAGCTAGCTCGTTGCTGAAATGGGCACGGTGAGCAGGTAAAGATAACAAGGCAGTATTCAGCTTACCTGGGGGTCGCTTACCCTGTGGTTTCCTGCGAGGCTGTAGGCAAATCCGCATCTGCGGACGAGACGGTGGTCGGTTCGCCCATCGGCACCCGGAATCGCCGTTGTCACCAGCATGTCCAGCTGGTCTCGCCTCCGGACGAGGACATATTCCAGCAGGTGCCAGTACCGCGAACGAGTACGCATGCAGGTGGCCTTCTCTTTCATCGGCAGGCGGAAGACAGTTTTGGCCAGGATGAGGCGGTGTTCTGCTCAGGTTCGTAGAAGGAGCAGGCCATTGCCATTGGAGCTGTCGAGGTTATGGCGACCCAGAGCTCCTCTCCAGGCAGCATGGTCTATGCCAACGCGGGCTTTAAAGTCACCAAGGACAATCAACTTATCCGACTTCGACACAGTCGCTAGGAGGGCGTGCAGGTCCACGGAGAATTTGTCTCTTGCGGCGTCGGGACTGGCTATCGGCGGATCGTAGAAGGTGATGCTGGTGACGAATTTGCCTCCCCGGTGAGACAGACGGAATCTCATCAGACGATCGTTGATGCCCTGCGGCGGATGGCAAAGGCATCACCCGCGTCACGTCGCTCTGCCTTGGGGCAACCGCTCCACGAGGTGTAGCCAGCACCCACCTCCTCCAGTTGGCCTTATTCGGAGAACCGGGAACCGGGTCTCGCTAATTGCAGCGATGTCTACCTTGTAGCACGCCAGTTCCCGAGCCACTAGCGCTGTCCTCTGTCCCGGTCGGTTGCTCCTCGGATTGTCTAAAGGAGAACGAACATTCCTGGCTACCATAGTGAGCGAACTCACCCTACCAGTCCGAGGAGTGGGGACGCGGGAAGGAGGAGGAGGAAGAAGAGAGTATTGTCACTGTTTGTTCTTTGGTTGTTTCGACCGTGGGTTTAAGATCTGCAACCACGGTCACCCTGCAGACGGCGGGGTTCACCAGCATATGTTTAGAGCACCTTTTTTGACCCCTTCCCCCTCGCGGGCATAAGCAGTGCTATCCCTAAATAGGACTGCTCAATTGGGTCAGGTGGATGCCGAACCGCACCACGGGCCACGTCTTTGTTTGGTGGAAGAACGACCCGAGTAAGTCTGGGACAGCCTACGACATCGCCGTAAGTTTTTGGCCTCCTGCGGTGAGCCAGACGAAGCCTCACCGCGACGATGTCAATGAGAAGATCCATCCGGCCAGCGGAGTCCACATTACCGTGTGCGAAGATGCACACACGGATACCATCACCTGGTTTAGCCCGCCGGTCGAGGCGGTTACCGGGGTGTGGCCGCTAGGCAGAGCCTAGCTTTGGGGAGCCACATGTGAGAGTTTGGTGTCAGCAAATGGACGCTAGGCGTAGTCTGCACCTGCAAGCAAGTGAACGACCTATTACGTCCGTTATGTAAACCCAACGCTGGACATCCCTACACCCCGGGGACTGCTATACCGACGTGTATGTTGCAACTGTCGAACAAATCAGTCGAAGGAAACGACTTAACGAGGCAATTCAATAAACGTGAAATACCCCGAATAAGTATGGGCCTGAACGCTTGCTTAATAGTGCAACTGAATGCATGTGTTTTCGAAAAGCGTCTGCCTAACTGTGCAGTGCCTGCCAATGCTTCTTCAAAAGGACACGTTCCCCATTTACGCCGCCAGCGCGAAGATCATGAATACGACTGAGTAGAAATGGTGTTTATCCACTCCAAGATATAATACAGTCAACCAGAACTGAGCAGAATGAGAGTTTCCAAACTTCTAATCACAGGGTAGTTTCTTAGTCTCTTTAGATTGCATATGCTTGTGTATCACCAAAATTTACTAAAAAACCTAGACGAAGTCGTTTCCTATGCAGACCATGAGTATATTAGCAGCGTAGGCACATTCATGCATGTGAGGTCCACGTACTGAACGTGAGTCAAGACATCGACTTGGCAGTCACCAACAAATGTCAGATGATATTTATGAAATATTAACCGGAAGTCTGAATTGAGGTTTCGACTCGAAAACCTTACTTAAGTACATAGGGTTGCAGCATAATCCAAAGATATTTCAGTCACGCCAGGATGCGAGCCTTTGAACGAGTCTCTCTCCGTCTGCCTGCAAAAACTACACTGTAAAAAATAACTACTTAATAAGTATGAATTTTTCTTATGATTCTCAACGCCCTTATAAATTCAAACACATTTTACAGAAAACATGAACAAAATATTCATCAGTTTGCTCATTTTGTTGCAAATTACGCCATCTTTGAATGTTATACTTGAAGAAAAAGTCTTTCCCAGTTCTAGGAAAATTTCTGTTTGTCAGAGTTTTTAAAACCGCGAAATATCCTTTCTTAAAACGCCGTATCTCTACATTTATTAACGCTACTCGTGATTTATGGAAAATAGTTCAACTCCCACTACAAAAGTCTACGAACTCCCATATAGTATCTTCCTAGTAGCGTATAGAACTCTGATTTTCTTTACATGAGAAATATACAGCTTGTAGTTTGGAAACTCCGAATGCAAGTTTGACGGTTGGTGGGGTTTAAGATTATTCAGGAATTGAGAATGATTTTCAAGACCAAATTATACCCTTCCTCCAAATATAACATTTAATTAATTGTAATTCGCTACCAGCTGATCAAAATAATGGATATCTTTGCGCATGTTTTACAAAAATATATTTAAATTTGTAAGGGCGTCGAAAGCCAGTGGGAAAAATTCATGCTACTTAAGTGGTCATTTTTTACAGTGTAGTTTTGAAGGCATTCGAAAACAAGCTGGTTCAGAGGCCGGCATCCTAGCGTGATGAAAATATTTTGGGACTATACTGAACGATGATTAATATTACAGCCCTATTTAAGTAATCTCTTCGAGTTGAAAACACGTTTCGAAATTCCAGTAAACATTTCCCGTTATAGCACGTCTGTGTTGACTGCTGACTTAAAGGCTCTTTGGGTGCTCACAAAAAGGCGAACAAGATTTTCCTATAAGGATATCACGAGGACCTAACTTCAGCACCTTGAACTCAATACTCAGTTCTGGAGTGGCTTCCACAGAATCGACAAACATGGCGCACTGCCGTAGGCACCGGTACAGCTATCTGCGTAGATCATTGCACAGAGGAGTCGAAATCGAGTAGGAGGGCACGCAAATCTGGCGTAACATAGTCTTGGTCGCACATATCCAGACCTACCAACATGGCAACATTCTCAGCACATTCTCTTCAGATCCACTGTCACGACGGCTGGCCAAATAAAAAGGCCTGGCACAGAGCGCCAGCATCAACAGCAAAGTCGTGGATGTTAGTCAACCCACCTACCTTTCCATCCCTCCTACCAGCAACATGGCCTAACTGCAACCCTGTGGCAGCTTTAGTAGTGAGTACACACTGAGCATCACATTCATCACGCTAAGTTCGGTTATCAGGTAAGGAGCGATTTATTGGGCCCAGAACCCTAAATGGCTGTCTGAGATGACGGTAACCACTAGTGAGGCCAGGGCGTATGCGGGCGATGTCAAGTTATGTCTGAGAGAGAGACTGTAACGCCAACTATTTTTATAAACTTGTGGGAGCAAGTTCAGGCGACTGCGTTCAAGTGGTGCGTGAGGAATTGCTCTAAGGATGCTGAGCCTAGTTGTCTGTGCTGCATTGGCCTCTAAAACGGACCACGCGATGGATGCGCTGGACGAACATGGAGCTAGATCGGACTCTGGTGGGTGTTATCGAGACTGCGCACACATAAAAAAGCTCAACATTCGGTGTGCGGTGGCAGGCCTAGTCGCCAGCTCACTTCGCGCCAGTTTGGATCCCCCCTGTTTCCACTTTTATTGTTGGTTAAAATCCTGGTCAAATGTTTGTTGTTGACGAGGGAACGTGATGGTATGCCTAGGTGCGGGTCTACGCCGTGCCAGCCACCTGCGTTCTCTCTCGCCCCTGATATTTTCGACTCGGTCAAGACACCGGATCCAAATGGGTGAGGGAGGAGAAACTGCGATAGGCGCTGCGTAAGTCTACTCTCATTTTAAGCTAATTCGGGCACAAGCCATTGTCCCTACTCTCAACCTGCTATTAAACACGCGATGGACACAGTCGGAACTGAGGTCAAACTGTTGTGTTGAAATGACCGAGGGTTGGCGTGTTCAACTAGAGCATGAACGGCTGATGCGTGCATCTACGCACGGTACAAGCGGTCAGTCTGAAGTAAGGTCAGTATATATGGAACAACCCGCAGGGAACGTAAATACCCGTGTCGCAGTGGAACGTAGAACAAAGATGTCGTACATCGTAATGAGGACTGTCAGATACATCCCCAGCAATCCGAGCTCAGATCCGTACTGTTCCAGTTCACCACATTGACGCCGACGAACCCCTGGCAGGGGCCTTAAAACACCTGCCACACACGCCTCGCCTGCCATATTTTTCCCAGGATATTCAAAAATATGCGTACACACGACGATTGGATTTGCTGCAAGTTCGTCGCGGCCAACCCACATTAAACACCAGAAAACGCCTTTACTACTACTACTACTACTACTACTACTACTACTACTACTACTACTACTACTACTACTACTACTAACGTCGCCACCAAGGACACCACAACCAACAGCGCCCTCACCAACACCACCTCCGTTGGCATACTTTCATGCTCCTTCAGTTTATCGGTCCACGCCAAAACGATGAGGCAGTCTTGCCAAATGGACAGACGTTGGCCAGAACGCACGCAAACACGCGCGTGCGTGCGCAGCTGACACATCAGAGGCTTGTGTCAGCAAGTAACGAGCATTTGTAAGAGCCATCCATTTACGACCCAGGACTTTCTGCAATAAGAAGCTGAAATACTAGCAGTTTAAAGGAATACAACTTTTGTTTGAATTTAGAATATGGAAAAGTTCGCTGTCCGCTGTCTATCTAGGACATTCAAGTACATTTTCGAACTTTTGGAAACCACGCCCTCTGCTACTTTATGTACAGCAATGAACAGTTCAGACAGTGCCTAATAGGCGTCAGTGTTTATGTCGACAATTTTAGCCAGGAAACGTCTTTGATCAATTACGCTGAACTTTTATCGTAAATATACGGGCCCTGGGTGTGTCTGCGAACTCCGGCTGAGGACACTGCACTATGCCGAATTTGTGACGAAGGTGAGAGTGAGGCGGCATAGCGGATGGTGGCAGCAGCGTCCTAGCCACGGCTACGACGGAAGGGTGCAAGTAGGTGCAAGACGGTTGATCACAGGTGCTTAGGGAACAGAGTCCTCCCATCAACAGAACTCCAAGATATTATTAGGAGGCTGAAATGGTGTTTACTACTGTACCGGGTAGCTGTATACAAATGTAGGACAAGACAGAAGTGACATGGCTGGTTTGTGGTCTCGCTACTAATTTTATGTAGGCATAAACAACTACTTTAACCTCTACTTTTTGAGGCACGAATGCAACTTCACAGTTATCCCTAACACCGAATGTGTGAAAGAGAAGTATGAACAATTTCATTGTTGACACTGTTATGACCATCTCATCACCACTGTTACAAGAAAATA